ATTATTATTTTATTGTTTTGAATAATGTTTTTTATAAATATTTAATTATTTATGTTTTATTTATATTGATGATTGATTATTATTTTGTATATATAAGACAATAAAAAAACAAATGATTACCTAAGAGTGATGGATGTTTTCTCTCTATCCACATGCATATCTTCAACTTCTTCACCTCTTCATCTCTTATCTCTCACTTCTTTCTTCATATTACATATATATAATTATTAGAAAATGACAGTAAAAAACATTGATATAAAAAATTAATAAAAGAATTAAATATTACAAGATGATCGTGCCAATCTTTACAAGATGATTATTTTGGACGAAGCTTGATTTATTATCGTATCAATCTTTACAAGATGATGATATTGGGTGTGAAGATAAAGTCTAAATGTTTACCGAGGAATTTAACAAACAATTAAGATCTGGTAAGTTTAGTTTTCTAAGAAAGATAAAAGAGATAACCAATGCATCAAAAACATGGATTCGTGAAACAGTTGTTAACAAGACTACTCGTGGACGTGCCTCGTTGAAGGATAAAATTTTCAGAAAACCTCATGTTGGTCCGTCTTTTACAACTAAGGTTGATCCGTCTTTTACAACTCATGTTGATTTGTCTTTTACAATTGAAAGACCCTTTAGACGTGGTTGTTAGAATAAATGAAAATGTAATATAAATTATGTTATGTCTTATTTATATGTCAAATCTCATTTTTTTTATGTTTTATTTTTATAATTATATAATTATTCAGAAAAATAATAGTAATGTTTATATTAATAAGTTCTTATTTATTTTTAAATATAGTAAAAAAATAAAAAAGCAAAAAAAAAAAAACCAGTAGCGTATATGATGAAATGTTTATTAATAATTTATGTAATATAAATGATATAGAAGAAATATATATTTAATAATACTGGACGAACATGGCAAGACACAAGAATCTTACTTGGTAAGAGCGATTATAAGGATAAAGAGTTTTATCTAGTAAGTGAGGGTAACGACTCTTACCCGGATAAACGATTATCATATATATTGTTGCACACGATACCATTTTGATATACTACAATCTTACTTAGAAAATAAATTATAACGTTAACCCCTAACGGTAAGCGCTTAACGGATAAGCATTTAGGTAAACAACTCCTTACTTTAGTCTTCTATAAATTGCTAGGCTACTTGTAAATATCATACACATTGTGGGGATCACTTCATACCATTTTCCATTTTACATAATTTAGGGGCCGTTTACCTAAATGCTTACCTGGTAAGCATTTATTGATAGGAGTTAACACTATAATTTATTTTACCCGGTAAGATTGTAGTACATCAAAATGATATCGTATGCAACAATTTACCCGGTAAACACTTACCTGGGTAAGAGTCGTCACCTTCACTTACCAAGTAAGA